GAACCTACAACCATTTCCGAAGCAATAAACGATGAACATTGGACCTTGGCTATGCAAGAGGAGCTAAACCAATTCAAACGAAATGACGTTTGGGAATTGGTGCCAAGGCCTGATGATCGCACGATTATTGGTACGAAATGGGTGTTCCGTAACAAACTTGATGAAAATGGAATAATCACTAGAAACAAAGCTAGGCTCGTAGCTAAAGGCTACAATCAAGAAAAAGGCATTGATTTTGAAGAAACGTATACACCTGTAGCACGTTTAGAAGCTATTCGTTTACTTCTTGCTTTTGCTTCGTCTATGGATTTTAAACTTTATCAAATGGATGTTAAGAGTGCCTTCCTCAATGGTTTTATTCAAGAGGAAGTGTATGTTGACCAGCCCCCGGGGTTTGAGGACTTTGAGTTTCCCGATCACGTCTTTAAACTCAAGAAAGCGCTCTACGGTCTTAAACAAGCACCACGTGCTTGGTACGAACGTTTGAGTAAATTTCTTTTGGATAGTGGTTTCCAAAGGGGAAAGGTAGACACCACACTTTTCATCAAGAGTAAAAACAATAACATCCTTTTGGTTCAAGTTTATGTAGACGACATTATATTCGGTGCTACTAACGAGTCTTTGTGCAAGGAATTCTCAACGCTAATGACTAGCGAATATGAATTGTCAATGATGGGCGAGCTCATATTCTTTTTGGGACTCCAAGTTAAGCAAATAAAAGATGGCACGTTCATTTGCCAAACTAAATACTGCAAGGAGCTCCTAAAACGGTTTGAAATGGACCGCGCCAAAGCCATGGCGACCCCGATGAGCACGTCTGATCATCTTGACAAAGACGAGAAAGGTAAGGAAGTAGAGGTAAAAAAGTATCGAGGTATGATCGGATCCCTTCTTTATCTTACTGCTAGTAGGCCGGATATCATGTTTAGCGTTTGCCTTTGCGCAAGTGTTAGGCGTGTCATAGCACCTACAAATTAATTTATTCTTTTCCTTTACTTAATTCCTTCTTGTAAAAATAATATTTATTAATTCTATAGATAGGATAAGTAAGAGTCGATCCCACGAAGAAAGATATTTTTTTAGGCTATGAAAATCGGTTTACTTTGTCACTTTTTATTGAGTGAAAAGAACTATCTAAAATCTATAAACTAAATTAAAAGATGGGGGGGTTTGAAAATTGTTTTCTAAATAAAGTAAAAAAACTAACTAAAGTGACACACCACACCAGAACTAATCTCAAAACAAACCAAGGATAAAAACATAACATAACTCCACCAAAAAGCCAAAACGAAGAAGACAAGCGCACATAACACAATAATTTAGACACTTAAACAATTTTAGAAAACCAACAAAATGTTTTATAATATAGAAAATAAATATCCAGGATCAAAACTTTGTTAAAAACTAGCATAATCATCAACCAACTATAAATTAAAACAAGGGTCCGGCTGAAAAAGAGGTCCACCAACGGCTCTTTCCTATTTTCCCATTCATAAAAGCTCATGTTAGGACCAACCCTAACTCTAAACCCTACTACCCTTAGCAACCCAAAGACCAACCCTTAGATTACTACTAAGAATAGTGCATTAAGATTTGTGGAAAACATCACCGTAACAATTTTGCAGTAACACGAAGGTTATTTAACAAAATCAGTTTGAGAACCTTGATTAGCAGAAACCACTTAACGAGGCAGCCCAGGTTAATCAAGTGACACTTGGTTTCTAGAAAAGTTCGTGATGGGCCGATATCCAGAGGACGGCCCAAATGAACCATTTAAAGAGCTTCGGGTCAAGCACCTGTGAAATACTCAAGCTGCAGCTAAAATAATCATCGGAGTAATAAGCGGAAAAATCTCAACTATCCTTCCTTCCCCCTTTTGGCATTATCAACCGATAACTTTCCCCCTTAAATAATGCCAGGATTTTGAAGGATAAGAATGGCAAGAGTTTTGTTTAAAAAAGAATTTGTAAAACGCCACAAAGGGTCAATATGTTCTAAACAAGAACAAAATTGCCAAACTAACAATGATATTAATACATAAGCAGTTAATATCAACTAGCAGCATCATCATCCACCAAAAGAGTTAAAACAAATAACAATGTATCATAATCAATCAAGAGAAAATAACAGTCAAAGAGAGTTCGCCGGACGAGCTCCTCCGCCAAAGCTGTGACGCGGGCCACGGTAGGAGCGAGATTGCTCAAGACGAGTCATCCTCTCGTTGAGCTGGCGAACGTCATCTCGGATGCACGTGAGAGTGTCGAAGATCTTCTTCACCCAAGAAGGTTCCGGTGCTTCTTCTCTCGGACGAGTCCTCCGCTGACGAGTGACGCGCTCCGTGGCTCGACTACCTCCGGCTTGAGATGACTCAGCTTGATTCTCGTTTTGGCTTTCTTCTTCTTCTTCGGCGACGACCAAGTCCAGATTTGGTGCAGCATCTCCCTCCTCTCGATACACGATCCGGGAAAACTTGGCTTCAGTGATGAAACAAGTCTTCTTAACCGGCACCTGAGTGTCCCGAGTAAAGTCTATTTTGCAATGTGCAAGGATATGCATAACGGGGATGGCAAACCGGAGATGGGAAAAACGAGTG